GCTATGCGCTTAGTGCTATTCATTTTAATTACGAATCCTTATATCTTAATGGGTAGAAAGAAAAGCATATAATTAAATAATACATTTTTAACGGTTTAAAACGCGAAATGTGTCATAAACATTATGTTATAATTAGTCTTATTTACAATTCATTTTAACTACGGCCCGACTTGTCGGATGCTTTGCTGCGGCCGAGGGCCACGGGGGCACAAGATGTCACTAGGGAGAAACAACATATGCAATTGGTATTTGTAGTTACACTACATAAATGTAACGTATTGATTTAACCTATGCGAGCTTTTTTATGGCTTATTCTAAGTAGCTACTGTAGCGAAAATAAGTAATGTGGATTCAAAGCTAAACACGACACAATATGGAAAAACATGTGACCTATTTCTAGTCGGTCCTTATTTAAATACGTGCATATTTTTTGTCCTATTTCTCATTTATAGTTCACACCCATACATTTTAAAAAAACTACATTTACTTATTGTCGTTATGTGTATACATTACAGAATCGTATGATGGCTGTACGGTACATTCTGTTACCAATTACAGAGCACCATCGCCCATACCGTTACTGACTTGATAGGCCATTTCGCACTCGCGATATGCTCTTCTGTTGGCCGTTAATGTCATTAAACCTATTACAATTAAACAAATCTAGTGAAAAGCTATTATTTCTGTTTTTTTTTATATTGATATGGACAAGATTTTTTTTAAATCAATCGATCGTAAGAAAGTAACTTTCTTGGTAGTTAAATATACCAAAAAATTACGAGTTTTTCTTATTGCAATTTTCATTGTATGAAATACATTTTGGAATAACAAATGTACTCAATGCTAGATACATACTTTAACTAGGTTATAAGTTGTATTGTCTGTAGTTTACCCAAGTAGTACACATTTAAGTAAAACACTTGTTCCCGTTTAAAATTCGAAATATATTATTTAAACCACCACCCACTTGACTACGGCTGCAAAGCATCCAAAACGAACGGCCATACTTAAAATAAATTGTAAATAAGTTAAACTTATATAATATACTACGCGTTTAAACCGTTAAATATGTTTTATTTAAATATTCTACTGACTTATTACACAGTCATATAGCTTACTATTGCTAAGTCGAAGAGTTTAAGAGTGTCGTGGCCGCGTCTCGACACATTTATGTTCACATAATGATTAGGTGCGGTGTAGAAACAAAGCGAAGGGTGGGTCGGCCGCTAACAGCTGCGTGACTCGGGCCGCGCAGATGGCCCAACATGGCCTCCGCACTATCGACATGCCATAAGCATAACCCATACGTGTTGCCGCATACCAACCCCCTACTCCTTGGCTTCACTATCCTTTCTGTTCTTAAAAACACTACCTACCGACCTTCTGTTTCCTAAAAAACAGTAGTTCTTCTCATACGTTCTACACTTTTATATTCCTTCTTAAGCTGTTGTGTAGCTGAATAAACGATTACCGTTATAGGAGATTCAAAGTTCACACATACTTATGACAAATCGTACAGCGTTATTGCGGTGAGATAAATAAATTCAGCAACACTTAAGTAAAGAAAGTAAGTTATCAACGGGGTAGGGCATTTCGCCCGCATTGGGCTACGGGCGGTCCGTGACGTCGGCGGAAAGACGCGAGCGTGACGTCACGTGCACGTGGGCGTGTGCGAGCGAGACGGACGCTGGGCCGCCCTCTGCGGAGGGCGCGCGCGAATTGACAGATCTCTGCACGCTCGATACCATCTTGAATCGCATTACCGCCCGCTAGTCGCTACCCGGACGCATGGAAGTGTATGCGCGATTTTACTGATCGCCTCTTGTATCGGGCGGCGACTGGCAAATTCCTCAGACTTGTATGCAAAAAACTGTATAAGTCAAAATTGTATAATCGCCTTTTTGGTGTCTTATGGCCCAGCGATTTTATCTTTGATCTTTTTGGGAAAGTTGTATAATCAGTATTTTACCACTAACTTCTAGCACGTACTCTTCTGTTCGTTTTACCTAAAATTCGTCTTTCTCATTCAAAGGAACTGTACAACAGGAAATACCTGTTGTTTCATAGATTGCTTAGGAGTTAGGACGACTAGATGGTTAACAAGACATCAATTTTGTATTAACACCATTTACGTTAGGGAATGGTTGCTAAATACTCTGAAGTTTATTTATTTGTAAGGATCGTGAGGTTATAATAGCGAGACGGGAGTTTAAATGCATCGTAAACGCATACTTTCTAATGTGTTAGGCGGTTCCGAGGTGTTTGGAAGTCACCGATGGGCGGCATGAGGTAAACAAAACGCGCGCGGATTCCGAGGCTGCAAAGCGACGTTGCCACACCGCAGCCAAGTTTATACAAGTAGCTGTCACGCGCTGTTTACTAGTTTTCTCTATCTTCGCGATTCTCTTCATCTTAATACAATTTGTTATTGTTCAGAGCAATTGTGAATTTGTCTTTCTTTGCGCGTAACCCTTCAATGCAATAGAATTGCTCGACGAGCCTACGTTTGTTTAATTTCAGAAGCAACGTAGAGATTTTTCCGTTTTGTACCTTGCACTCGCTGTTCGGCAAAAAGATGCCTTCAACAGGTTTCTAATAGGGTGGTTCTGGGGGTGGGTGAGGCGAGGAGACTACCGTGTGCTGCAGTGTAGGCGGTTCTCGATATTGACGACGTAAATTGATGGTTCCATCTAACTTGTGTTGATGTGCAGTCTCTGGCCACCTAGTCATATTATTCTTTGTAAATGCAATATTGCTATGAGCCCCATAGGTACATGATCTTTAATATATATAAACACCTCTTCAACTCTTCAAACGAAGCCTTATGTTTTGCATGCTTGTCACTATAATCGCCTTGACGTTTCTTAAGACTGGTTTCTTATGCTACTCACGTCCACTGAAGGTCTATAAGTACTTCTAACGTCAGGTAGGTAATTCACTATACTTGAACTAAAACCTTTTGTTTTTCACATCGATTCATTTTTTAACTAGAACAATTTGTGATATACCTAAGTTGGGTTTATACCTAAGTTTCTATTATGGAATCTTATTTTTCACTTAAAATCATATACAAATAAATACTGCAAATACTATTTAAGACCATTTCTCACATTTTCGAAATCACCACTCAAGGATCAGACTCTTAAACTTGATAACACTAATGATAATGATTTCGAATCGGTTTATGGCGAGTAGCGGTGAGCAGCGCGGTGGGCGCAGCGCGCATCTGTCCCGCTATCGATCCCGCCGTTAGGTGGTACCAACCGCCACAACACCGCTACAAATATTCGACCTTGAACCTTCGACAATCCTTATTATTGCATTATGCCGAATGCAATTTCTAAATACATATTATCAATTGGTGGGTAACAAGTTTCAGTTGATATCAACTTTAACTACTTACAATAAGTTTAAACTTTATCAAAGGGGGTTTTTTTGTGTTATGTTTGTAAATTAAATTTTCAGGGCCGATATAAAGCGGGCTGCCTACTGAAACTATTTACTGTGTAGCATCTTAAATGTCATTTCAGTGAAACAATATAAAAATTCGCCTAATCTAGGTCAATATTCGTAATATATGTCTGATGGAGTACTAGCAGATCGATAGTAAAACTTGGTGCTATCGCGATGGTACTAGGTGCCGGGCAGTCGTGACTTGCTTCGACTCAACATTCACAAAGCCCGCGAAGTACAGTAATCGAACCGTTCGCTTTAATGGCCTTGGGAGATACGGAGCGATGGGGCCGAATAGGCCGATGCTGTAATTATTGCAGTATACGAGCGTAGGATAAATTCCTCATTACGGAAACTTGTTTACCGTAGCCCGTAACGCAGCGGTTGCTTAGTACGAACGCTGCATGAACGCGGATTGTAGTTTTATTTCTTGTTAGAATACTATGTATAAAACCGTGCCGATTATTAATATGTACTTATAGAATGATTCGTAGAATTAGTCCCACTCATCATTTACTTTATTGAATTAAACATTAAGACATTATGTGTGTTAACTAATACGAAATAGATACTGGAAAAACTAGTTCAGTCGCCGCTGTGAGATGGCGGGCACTGCGCACACCTGGAGCGCGAATGTCAAGGCTGCGCGCTTAGAACTTGGAAGCGCTCCAGATCTCTGCACGCGCAATAAAAACTACTTGTTTGAACTGTTAGATTAGCCTTTCCTATTGGAAAACTATAAAATGTTTCGCATTTCTTACTATGTTTACTTACAAGATGCTAAACAATCGGAGCATAATATTATTCAACAAATTGTTCGTACAGGTTATAAAAATATTTGTCCAAATGCAACAATAATCCTTATCTCTACGCTTATAAAGTTGATTGTTCAATGTCAACAAGAATGGAAGCGAGCGCTGACGTTCGCATGTGTGTCGCGCGCGCGACAAACACAAGCACGTGCGCCGTGAGCGGTGCTGTGACGTCACGGGGGTCGCTCCCGCCCCGCCCCTAACGGAGATTGAGAGAGACAGAGCTATCGGTGCGGCAACGGCGCGCGGCTCGTTTGTTTTCGCATGTAATGCTAGTGATAGGCCGGTTTATCTCTCAAATACGAATGCAACAAACAACTATCTGGCGCGTTCCTTAACACTGCAACGCGGCGCTAATCTTCTTCGTCTTACAATGGGCCGTAAAATGTCAAGAAATAATAAAAATGCACCTAAAAATATGTTTAAAATTCAAATATATCCAATCAAATAATTTTGCACTTATAAAATAAGTTGAGTTGCTTAACTTTTTTTATAGTTATTAAGCCATTTGATATAAGACATATTTAAAACTTATTAAGCACCTTAAGTATTATATATTCTACAGATTTGTAAAATGTACCTTACTCTACTCATCTCACTTTTGAGACAATGTTTTTGTTAACTTATTTATTATTAGTTATTACTTAGTTATTGTTAACTTTTAAAAAGGTATACCAATTGTAATATGTAAAAAAATAATACACATACATTAAATACATATTCTCTTTATTACAGAGGGTGATCAAGGTTCCTGGGAGAGCGGGCTGTCGTACGAGTGCCGTTCTCTGCTCTTCAAAGCGCTGCATAATCTCATTGAAAGGTACGTGGAAACTTTTAAAGCCGCGACCAAACAGAAGTTTTAGCTCCGCTTTGCGTTCCGCCGAAATCGATAATCACCAGCAAGCCGACTCAGCGTACAGTCAACATGACACACTTTGAATAGCTACGTGGACTATTAGTGGGTTACGAAAGAATTTAAGACGGGCTCACTAGTCTATTTGTTGTAATGTATGGCTGATAATCGACGGGTCGTGGGTTCGAACCCCACCGGGTCGAACATGTTTTTAATTTTTCTGAAACATGTTGGCCTTCGTCTGGAAATCTGGACATTAAATGGGTGGTAGGAATGGAATGGGCGATATAAGAATTTCGTCCGAGTCACGAACCACCGTCCACAGATGAAAAAGCCGTGAAGCTCAATCGCATTTCGGTTTCAGCCTGTGGATTTCCGATTATTCGAAGACTTATTTTGAAAACTTTATATTTTTATCTGTTATTATACACGATGGCACTACATAAATTAAAAATCGAATTTTAAGTAAACCAAGGGCAGCGTCTAAACCCGAGACCTCAGACTCTGTAATAACGTCAATACATAACACTTAGTGATCGAAATTAGTAGTATCATAATATGTAATAAATTAAATGTAATGATAACTAATACTAATGCAAAATGGGCGCGGCCTCTGCGTAAAATCTAAAATAATAGGCTCCCCAGCGAAACTGTAACAAGCTATTTCCAATATTTGTGATAACTTCGCCGCTGATAAGAACCGACTCAATTAGCAGTCGGCAACCGCGTAATTTATTTTTAAACAACACTAAATATAATTCGCTTTTGTTGTTGCAATATTGAATAAATGAATAAACATTTTTACGTGTTTTAAATAGTTAATGTCTGTAAAAGTTATATTTAATTTCTTTTTTGCGTGGCCTTGTGTCTGTTTATATAAGTTTGAGTTGTATATTTTTTTTATTATGTAAACTAATTATTACTCGTGTGTTTGTTTGTATCGTCGTCAAGTTTATATCAAAAAGCTTAGAAACTTACTTGTACTGGCATTTTGTTATTTTACGTTAATAAATAAAACGTTTAATTCATCTACAATATTTGCAGAAATGTTTTCAAGAAATATGAGTAAACCATTTATTATCGATATATAGCCACAACTCGTGTACGTAACTGTGTGAATGCACCTGGCGTCGGGCTGCGCGGGCGCATCGCCCCGCCTCATTGTTACGGAGGTCGTTGAATCGAGGACTCTCGACGTTCTAAACGGTTTTTTATCAAACGGCGAAGTTTCGAACCACAGATTAGCCAAAAAGCGAAAGTTTCCGCCGCGATGATTTATGATCGACGGGCAAATTGCCACTACGAGGTATATTTAAGCTTCATTATGATTTTCAATTAAGTAAAAAATACGATTATTTACATGGTTAGATCCATAATACACATGTTTCTGAATAAAGTCAACCAAGATAACCGACATTACTTCGATTACTATTAAAAAATCTACTCATATTTTCAATCTGTATTTCTCTGCTATTTCTTTTCTTTATTTGTTAAGGAAAATTATCATTTAAACAACGAATCCCACGCCTCTGACAGTCTGTCTTCACTCTAAAGTTTGACAGACCGATACGCGTTCCATATTTGAAATCAAATGGCCAATCGGCGTGCGCGCATCTTTATTAGCCGTCAAGGTCACCGTAGTAGCCTGTTTACGAGATAACGAGACGCTCTAAGTAGTCGGTGTGGTTCCGAACGCATCTTTGAGCACGGTGCGCGCCGGAATCCGTGATATGAACGAAATCCGGACGAGTCGTTGACCCCGGCGGCGGTGCGGCAAAGTAACAATGCGAGTGTCGCATGTGGCGAAGGACTTTTTCCACTGTCTAATTGATATTTTTATTTTCTCTAATTGACTAAATTTCCGGAGCTGAAACCAAGCTTTCACGACCATCGTTCAGCATATCATTGTTTTTCGGGCTGCTCGGCCGACGTGAGCGAAAGGAGGTTCTCGACGGCATCATCGGGAGATGTTGTTAGCTCCCGGATTGCTCGAAGAATTAAAACGTCGAGAACCTCTTCTCGCTCACGTCGACCGAACAGCCCGAAGAACAAAGATATGCTCAACTTTTACTTGTTGATGACATTGTCCAAATGACTCCAAGAAGATAAAAATGGTTGGAAATCTTAATGATTTTCACCCTACCTAAATATATGAATAGATTAATTATAATTTATATAGGTGTAAATACTGTCTATAGTTTACGCGAGTAGTACACATTTAAATAAAACACTTTTAACGGTTTAAAACGCGATATATTAGTTAAACTTATTTGAAAATGATTTTTAACTTCGGCCCGACGTTTCGGCTGCTTTGCAGCAGACCACTCACAAAAATCACACAAAAATCACAAAAATTTTCAAATAAGTTTAACTAATATATCGCGTTTTAAACCGTTAAAGTGTTTTATTTATATTGGTGTACCTGTAAAGAGATATTCCGAGTATTCGACTATATATTACATTTATACGTTTACCTAAACTTAGTGAGTGTATTTAAAAAATAATTGTTCCTACCTATAGTTAAATATTATTCACATGTTATTGATTAGCAGTTTTCTCGCGCTACACTTATTGTACGTTGTCACGTGCAGTTTTATATCGTTAATGATCACGTTTAGTTTTATCGTTGGGTTATGTTCGTTACGGGGTTTTAAAACACATTGAAGTTGTATTTAATACGACTCAATAATACGCCAAAGACCCGTAATTGCGTATTGTGTCTTATCGTTTTCATGGCGACATAATTATTAACATTAACCAAAATATATGCTTACTAGCTGTGTCAGCGACTTCGTCCGCGTAGAATAGTTATTTTGGGCATCAAAATTTGTTTTGCGAACCCTCTGTTGAACTCTATAAATGTAAGCTGTTACCCAACGACATCGGTTGCAGCCCATCGATCTTGTAAGTTAACCTTAAAAGATAGCCATCTAGTGTCGCGGACATATTTTTAGATCATTCAAAGAAGGACTATTCTTTCACACATATTTTTTCGTGTTTTGAACCGTTTTGTACGCGTTCGTGTGTTGTAGCATCGAAAACCCACAATGATAAATAATTTTCCCCCGGTTTTCCTCGAAGCGAAGAAACAATTCTTCGCTCTTATTAGTCACAGCGCAATATTTGATAGCCTATAACCTTCCTCGATAAATGCTCTAACCAACACAAAAATAAGTAATTCCTGATATTAGTGCGTTCAAACAAACAAACTCTTCAGCTTTATATATCAGCGTAGATTAGCAGGCGTTGCTAGAAGACATTGAAGTAATTAAATTTGAATAAGTACCGCTTATTAATTTCGAGCGTAAGTCTGTAGGTGGTTGAATTATCGCAACGCGATATCGTGAATCAAATGTATGATTCAGTATGTTAATGTACAGTAATAAATAATAACAGACAAAGAAATTAGCCACGGTACATGTAGATCAAGGTGCGCAATCGCATATTTGTTGCATACACTGTACGTAGATATGCCGTATCGTGCGATGGAAGCTAAACCCTGTGACATTGATTTGTACATAATCATTATCTACTCGAGTATTTATTTAATGTATATCGACATTTGTTTTGCAATACAATTATCTTGTAATGTACGTGTATGTACGTAGGAATATCTTTGTTTTATCGCTTCTACGAGCGTGGAATTTTTTCTTGTATTGGAAATGTATAGCTACTTTACAATTGCAACTGAACTGCCCCTTAGGCTTGGTTGTGAAGTACTTGTAGAAAGTTAAGGTCCCCGATATGAAGGGAACAGTCTTGTCTGGTCCCGCGTTAGTGAACCTTAGTTCGAATCACCTTTTAATTCTCTGATAGTGTTCCTTTCTAGCAGAGATGAGAGAGTTGCTTGAATCCCAAACTCCTTATTGCACACAAAAAAGTGAGAAAAATATCTTTCAATATTAGAAGGTTTACTTGTACAAAATGCATGCGTGGATTTGACAAAAACTACATATTTTACTTTAAAGAAAAGTAAAACTCCTAAATAGGTCACAATAAACTTATCGTTACAAAGTTTATTTATTAACTAACACTCGAATTGTACTATGTCATTGTTAAAATAAAACATTTTAACGGTTTAAAACGCGATTTATTAGTTAAACTTATTTGAAAATGATTTTTAACTTCGGCTAACACGGCTGCTGCAAAGCATCCGAAACTTTAGAGTTTTTTATTTAAATGTGTACTACTCGCGTAAACTATACAGTATTTTATGTTATTGGTTCTGTTACGTTTTGCAGATGCTTGCTGTCGCGGGACTTTGTGAGACTCGGAAAGTGGTTTGTGCAACCGTACGACGGAGACGAAGAGGATGTCGGAAAAAGGTATTTCATTTCGAGAAAATACATCTCAACCAAATATATGCTAAAATGGAAGTTCTGTTAAAAGCGCTTGTCTAAATCAATCGCTTTTAAACAGGTACGTTATTGTACACTTCCTATATAAACATGGAGATTTCTGTGTTGTGCCTATTGAGACAAAAGGGCGTGACTTCGTTCCTCTTCGTACAAACTAAATATCAAGTAATCTATTTTATGGTCCTTCAAGTCGGACTTGTAATAATTGTTCAAATATTGTTTGCAGCCCGTGGCACCTGTCTTTCTCGTTCGCGTTCTTCCTGCACGGGGAAAGTACTGTCTGCGCATCTGTGGATGTCAGACAGCATCCCCCGGTGCGTACCCTCACCGCAAAACGACTGGCCCGTCTCAACGCACCGCCTGCGCACTCACCACCTGATAACAAAGGTAATAAATTACTATAAGTTTTTGCATGGTAAAGTTTAAAAACTTTTCCATGGTTGAAAATGGAAAAGGAATGGAAATCGTTCTAATCATATATAATTGATATTACAGTGATCCTGGCACCTTTTGGACTCGAAGGTCGTGTAACGGGTCGTGAATGGAGTGATTCAGACCCGGCCACCTCTCGGCTTCTGGATGCGTGGAGGCAGCTCTATCCCCTAGAGCAGGCAACTGGAGCTGTTGAAGTAAACATGCTTATCCAATAATTTTTTAAAAATAATACTTAGATTTATTTCATCATCCAATAACCGCAATGTTTTTTAAATAGTTATAACATTTTGTATAGGTATCTATAACGATAAAGATTTATCTTCTCATACTTGTCAAAAGCTAAAGTTCGTTAGCAACCTAAACTCTTTATTCTTCTTCTTATGTCATTAACTATTACTGTTATATACAACTTTATTTTAAAGTACATGTTATAACAATATTCCCCTACACGTTCCCAGGTGGAGTGTGGTGGTGTGCGCATGCGTTACCCCGTGCCGTACGTGCTCGTCACAGAGATGGAGACAAGCCGCGGAGAGGCGCCACCAGCGCACTCGCTCGCTGCTCGTACGCTACGCTCTCTTACTACACCTGCTGCTCACCAGGTTGGTATTGGGATAAAGATTTTCCACCTTTAATTCAAATTGTTACTACTTTCACAATACATCTACATTTGATATTTACTTTATTATTGACTTACTACCTATATCTCTTGACTTCTCTTAAGCACTAAAGTCTCTGGTTCAAATCCGGAAGAAATGATCTTTCCGGTTGGACATGGCGCAGAAGTCTGATTGACTACTTGCATTTGCAAACAATCTATCAGTGTAATGGTCATAGAAATGCTCTAAAAGATAACACGTCAAGCCCCTCAAGAAAAGGGGAGAAACAAGATTTCAAACAACATACAAAGTTCATCATCTTTTGTTGACATTAACGCTGTAATAGCTTAACTTGACTTCGATTATTATGCTTGTTTTCACCAAGGAACCACAAAAGGTCTATATTTTTGGTTCAAAAATCTTAGGATATCATCATCCATATATGCATTATTTATATCTATCAAATCTATCCGATACCTAAATAAGGCGTGAAAACAAGTGTCGTGGTTAATAACACGGAAACGATACAAAAAACTAGTTTACGTTCACTAATATGTCGTACAGATTCAATTATGCTAATTTGTAAATATTTTGTCTTGAGCATACAAATATTACTAATAATATATATTATATGAATGTGTCTTAAATAAATACGCACTCAACTCTTCTTTACAGAGCGATAGAAAAAGATAGGCAGTGTCAACATTACTCGTCCATTAAATATATTTATTAGTAGAATTAAATGGACGCAGGAAACAAAGCTTCTTATAAAGCCATTAGAAGTTTTGAGTATGCTTCCTATAGAATGTAAAGAAGCACCTATAACAACAGAAGATAGAAGAATAAGTCTTCCTCTCTCTTCTTTAAACTTCTTCAACAGACTAATACTTTTAAAATTTCAAGATATTGATTTTTTCGTTATATAAGTATTGAGACTTTGTTTCCATATTTCAGACTCCAGAGACGTGCTTCGCGGAGACCGCGGGCGAACCCAACGAGGACTTCGTGGACCCTACTCGCAAGACGACATGCGCGTGCGCCAAGTGAGTGCACGTTTAATAGACATCTTTACGCTACATACATACCGCTATATTTTATTACCTATTTCTTTCGACTTTGGAAGTCAACCGCTTTGTGATTAAACAAAAAGTTCACTTCCAAAACGAATTATTTATATACAGTAGTTAGGAGCAGTAATATAGCTGTAGTTGTATGAGAATTGTGTGTATTGCATTTTATATATCCGGAAGAGTTATATATTGATTATTGGGATGCGACGAGACTCCGTTCCTCCTCGGAGCGACGCAGGGCGTAGACGTAGATAGGTAGATGTTATGTATGTGAATGTTCTAGTATTACGTAGTTTAAGCCTAGCGGGAGATACTGCATGAAGCTATCGACGCATACCGTGTTAACTCTTAACGTTTTTCTCGCGATCAACGTATATTGCCTCGATATATTCATCGTAGAAGGACGCGCGCGCAAGCTTTTGTCACACTTTGCGTGTAGATGAGTACTTTTGCTTCGACATTTATCTATCCTCCCTCCTACTACCCTCTATGGAGGGTAAAAGGGTTTAGCTATTAATACAAGAGATTACGATTTTTAATATATACATGTGATGCATGTTTATACGATTGCGGACCTTAGTCGGGTTTTATTTAGCTTTTTATCACGGGCGTCGCCAATAAAGATTTGAATAGGTCTCAGTTTAGCTTCTTTATTTTAAAGTTATCTGCTCTTGCGTAAAGTAAGTTGTGTGGAATTTAGCCGATAGTCGATTGGCGACGCCCCGGCTTCATATCGATCCGCTTGTGGCATTCGAGTGCCGCCCTCCGGCGCGACTGTGCGACTCGGCGCAAAGTGTGATAAAGCGTATGCGGGGGCGTGTGGCGGCTGGCGTGTGGCGTGTGGCACTAGCGTTGTGTGATGCAGGTGGCGGCGCCGCCGCGGCCCTCGCCCGCTGCCCTTCCACCGCCGCGCGCCGCGCCAATCGCGCGCCCATCTCGCCTCACACGCCCGCGCCAAAGCTGACAGACCCGCCCGGGACGGCCCGCCCGCACAGTGAGTACCGCACACACCCGCCACGAGCTCGAACGTTCCCTCTACCACGCTGTACCTGGAAATGAGAACTACAGGTTTACATTGCATTTAAAAATATATAACTAGTTTCGTAACTCGTGGCCGAGAGAATGTTGGACCCTACTCTCCGGGATCATCTTCACAATAACTCGTACGACACGAACGATAACCGCTTCCGCTACATCCCACTTGTATGACGCACTTACAGCAGCCGCTTAACGCTTGCGTTGACAATCGTACGATCATTTTAACGTTAACGTATCGGTCGTGTCGTACAGGAGATACTCATACGCGTGGGGACCACGGCTTCGCGACCGGCGTAATCGTTGTACGTATGTAATGGTCTTTAATACGTGAGGCGTGCTCATTTTCACCCGCGACGAACAGCAGTGAGTATATGGGAAACGAGTGTACACAAATAATGCAATATACTGTTGCATGCTGTATGCCTATACTTGCGTATCGCGTTGCATGAGCGAATCTAATTGCATGTTTTGTGTCTGACATTTCCTATCTATCGGATTGTGATTGTCCAAGTCCACACTTGGGTTTCGATAGCGGCTATCATAATCAGTGTATCATCCAATAAATTGATAAACGATTAATTATTATTATCGATACTAATTATTATATATACATATCGTTATCATTCCCCCACTTAATTGGGTATTTGACTGTGATTATGTTTATTTGAGCGATTTTATTCTACTGCATATCGACAGATATATAGAAGCCTTCAACGAGTCGTAAGTGCAATGACTTAGTATTATAATAAGCTAGTGGAAATAGTACGCTTGTATAGATGTCAAATACCCAATTATTACTGACCTTTTCCACAAGAATAACTTGAATCATAAATTTATTCAATCAAATCTTGTACAAAGCACAGTAAAATAAGTTAGGAGCGGTTTTGCCTCCTAGCCTTTTTTTTCTATTTGACACTCTTAATCGATGAAGAAAGATTTTATTGAAAAATAGTCTTAATGTACGGGGGTCATGGTTGGACATAATAACATCTACCTCATCTCGATTTTAAAAAACTCGTTCGGTTGTCATCTCATGATGTTATGCTCATTTCGTTCTCATTCTGTTGAAGCAATTTGTATTCAGTCACAGAAAATGTTTAAATTGTCTCTATTTCTGAGTATGTATTGCCTTAATAATAAATGTAGGGTAGCTAATACATGTTTTGTCTCGTTCACTACAACTGTATCTTTACCTGGCATGACAGAGACAAAACTAACATTGACAAAATCTACCATACTTTTATTAATAAGGTTTGTACTAATTAAAAATTATTTTAGCCGGAAAACACGAAACTAAGGAAAATATTTTGCGTGATTATAGAGCGAACAACTGCAGTAGCGGTAACGGACGCGGTACGTGCTCGCCGGCCAGTTGTGGTGGGGCTTCACCAGCGGCGCCGGGCTCCGCCCCCTCACCTCATCACACCACAATACCTTCACATCAGGTACAAGAACTGCGGTTGTGTATGAACAATAGTGTTAAAAATGTGCTAGGAATTAACTAAGACTTGTTGAGCACTATTCCAAGTCCTAATATGGATTCATTTTTCGATTTAAGAATGGAGTCATTTAAGCCAAATTTGAAGTAAGGTATGCCACCTGTTGGATTTTTACAAGAAAAGTTCTAATAAGAATGTCATTAAAAAAGATCGAAAGTCTTTTGTAAAACTACTTTTATACCTTGCTGTATTTGTTTAATGAATAAAAGTTACGTTTCCGCTTATGCAGGGACCGAACGTACCGACAACGTTACATACGCCGGCGCCTACGCCCGACCCGCTGGCCCCGCCCACGCCAGCTCCGCCTTCCCACCACAACCACAAGCTCTTTACGCAGGTGTGTTAATCATAAGCATAACTTTCTTTAGTTCTTAATCGCCATTCCTATATATTTTCTAGACATCGTTCGTTAGTGATAAAAGTATATTTTTTTATTTTCTTATTAGTTCTTATTTTTTGTGCTATCCGGTTAAGAATTTAACATATTATATGTTAAATTCTTAACCGGATCTTCTTCACTTCACATACACTTCACGTGATCCAACTCAAAAAGTAAGCATTTTTGATTACAAACTGTCTTTTAGGGCGACTCACCACCGGCGGGCGGTGCGCTCGGCAGCACGGCGGGTACGTGCCAGTCTCCGGCGGGCGGCGTTGGCGGGACGGGTGCAGCGGCTAATGGCGTGAATGGGTCTGCTGCCCTTCTACCCCGTCGGCCTTTACTACCCGCTGCAGAGAAACGTCTGGACCCTCTAGAGGACGAGCACTCATTGCATATGTTATACGACTATACCACCGTGCATGCTTGGTGAGAAACATAATAGGCATTGTACTCATTACATTGACCAGAATATTAAATACATTCTTTTGTGATAAATCAGCCAGACCAGGAAACATTAAGTTTCCTTCATTATTTGTCTAATCGACGTCATTTATATTAGATCAAGTAAAAAAAAGACAATAGTAACTTAGATTTGTTAAAAAAGCGTAGGCTAAAAAAACAGTTTAAATAGTAGTAACTTTACGGCGAGAACCACGGCCACATCGAATCTGGAGTGTGTCGATGTGCATCAAAATCTCGCAATATTAATATATAACCAAAATGCGCATCAACATTGTAGGTTTCATTTGCTGTGTTCAATATTTGGTTACATTTCCAACTTACATTTACATGTGTTTATATATGTAATTATTATTATTAAGTACTAGTTGTTATTTTTTTGTTAATTAATTTCCTTTTTTCTTAAGGTTGGAACATCCTGTGAAGCGGTTTAAAAGCGACGAGAACACGTTTCGTGAGGAGTTGGCCCTGGGGACGAGCGGTGGAGACCTTTATGTTGGACAGGAATACACGCGCCCTCCAGACTACGTGCACACGGACAGAGTGGAAATCAAACAGGAGAAAGTTGAACAGGTATAGCAATATCTATATAAAGTTCATATCAAACTACTGGTTCGAATTGAAAAATACAAGAGTGTTTTAAAATATTTAAAAAGATTTAAGCTATAAAATAAAAGGTCTCTCTAAATAGAGTTCAGAAGGCCGTAATAATCCGACAGATATAAATATTTCAGTATTTTTCTTTGCACAAGCCATTAATTTAAAAAAAAAGCCTATTTAAATTTGTAATTTTAAATTATTGCCATTTTCTTTGACCTTAGAGAAAATAATTAAATTGACAAACCAAAAAGTATAGACCATTATATGCATTTCTAAAGGTCTAAACAAATTTTGTTTTATGAACAGGAGGATGTAAAAGACTACAAGAACCTATTTAGGCTTGACGGCCTATGTCCGACGTACAAAGACCTGGAGCAGATCTTCGACAATTCAGACGATGCCGCCAGTGGCGACGAGACGGTAAGACTTGTGAGTGTACCTTTGTTTACTATGTTCTATACTGTCCATAGTTGCATTTTTGTTGTGCTTCTGGCTTTTATTCATATCTGTATCTACGTTGTTTTGGGTCAGTATCCTATAAAACAACACAGAAATATTTTGCTACTTATTCAAAACTTATGAAAACAACAAAAAAGTTGTGAATAATAAAAAATACATAACAATATTTTTTGTAGTTTCTTCTTGTTAAAAAACGCAAGTGTTATACATGGTTTTTTTTTTTAATTTGTCAGTTACAAGTGCAAACACCCCCGGACTCCAACAAGTCGTCGGACGTGCGATGTGTGCGCGCAGAGGAGCTGAGCAAGATGTTTCCCACTCCCCCGAGTATGGAAGCACACGCGCAGCCCTCTCCCGGCTTTTGCTCAGATGAACCGATGACTAGTGGACCGCTCACCAGGCACGGAAGCCCGCCGCGAGATCCAATCGAAGTATGATTTTGACTTATGATATCTCTAGCTTAATTTTTCTCAATATTACAATAGTTATTACAATAAGCATAAACTTTCTTTATTCAAATAATTAGAGCGTATTTAAGCTTATGTACCATTTAAAAAAATAAAACTATGTTAATATTCCGTCTAATTCCAGGATTGGTCGTACGTGTTTAAACCGGCGACGGTTTACAAGTATGTCGGGTCGTCAAAGTACGCCCCGCTCAGTACGCTGCCCAGTCAGCTGCTCCCGCCAGTAGTGCTGCCACCGCACGCCGTGTACCGACCTAGATGGCAACAGGATCGAGACTCCACGGAGCACGAACCTGCGCACGCGCATTGCACTACGGAAGCAGGTATAATAGTTTGTCTAAATATCTTTATGCTTAGCATAACCATGTACTATCATCACCAAAAAATATTTTGGCCTTTAATCCTTTAAATAAATGTTTTGCTTTGTCTGAAAAAACTATGGAAATCATTTTGATAAAACTTATAATTGTGAGTAAAAGTTTCCAATTTAAGGTATAACTCAGAACAACATAACATTTATTTTCAGAGAATCTCGGTAATAGCCAAGGGCGTACGCCAGTTTTTTTTTGTGTTCTGTACACTAGTAATTTTTTGTATAAATTAATAGCTATATAAATGCCAAATTTTCAGGTGCAACGAGTACAAACAATACGACGACCAATACCGGTGGCGTGAAACGTTCCCTCTCGGCGAGTAATGATCGAACAAGCGGTGCACGCGCCACTGTCGCTCCCTCCCCCCGGCGCGCTGTTCCCCCTCCCGCCTCACCCTCTTCACCTCGCACACCCGCGCCTGCTTGCCCGCTGCTGCTTAACGTGCTACTAGCGGACACAGTTCTTAACGTCTTCAGAGATCACAACTTTGACAGTTGCACGCTCTGCGTGTGTAATGCTAGTGGAAGGGTAAGTTAAAACTCGAGTTATAATACTGTGGAGTTTCACACATTATGCGTATAGGTAGCATATGAAAGTATGTACTTAAAATGAGTCATATTGCTACAAACCGTAATACTTATATATTTATATTATATATTACATATTTTAGCAATGCTGTTTTTCGGGAATAATAAATATAGCTTTTTTTATCAGAGTGTTGGTAACATACGTGGCGCGGACGCGTCTACATACCTACCGGGAGTGGAATGGGGCGGCGCTGAAGACGAGCCGGCTCGCTGTTCTTGTGGTTTTAGTGCTGTCGTCAATCGGCGCCTAGCGCATCGTGCCGGTCTCTTTTACGAGGTACTGATGACATTTAGTATTAAACAAAATATATAAGAAAGACTTGCTTAAAATCAATTCGTCACGTGTTTAACTGTATTTTTTTGTTTTAAAAATTAACACTAATGAGTGTTTAGGACTTATTAATGGATGTATCTTAAGTGTAGCTTTATATGTGTTTGCGCAGGATGAGCTTGAGATAACGGGAGTGGCAGAGGAGCCTCGAAGACGGAATGATTCAGGTGGACGCAGTGGATTAAGCGAAGTGGCTAGCGTGCTGGTCGCGCACTGTGCTGCTCCGAACGCCGGCAGCGCTTCGGCGCTCGCTCGAGCCGCGCGAAGGGCCGCCGCTAAGCATGCACCAAGGCATACGGATAGACGGCTAAACCTCCTTGAGTAAGTATTGCTTGATAAATTTTGACGGTCTAATAGTTCTATATATCTATAGGTAATACATATAAAAACAACCCGTCGTGTCATATATCCACCAGATTCCGATAGATATAGTCAAGTAGACGACTTACTTAGTTAATTCATGGAAATATTATTTTAGATACTCAGACGGCGGTGCGGCGGCGATGAGTGCCTTGCGCGCGGCTGCCGGTGGAGCTCTCTCTGTGACTGCCACCAAAAGCAAAAATGGTCTCACTACGGGCGCCGTGCATCGTTGGCCCTTCATCGGTGCGCGGGCGCCGCGATCATCTAGGGATGTTGTTAGGTAAAATATCGTTTTCTGAGTAACTTTAAAACTATTAAGTTTTATATATTAATAGCACTCAAACATACGTATTTTTGCATTTTTCGTTTTTAAAAATAATTAATCTTTTAATTGCTTATACACATATTTTGCTTTTATTTAAGGTTACATTTTAACATCCTCAGATTAATGCGCCGCCTCCGACCATTATTGCAAGACGCGATACAGAAACGATGCGCGGGCGCCCGCATGTGGGACGGCGTCACCGGCCCGCTAACGTGGCGACAATTCCACTTACTAGCTGGCCGGGGCAACGAAGACCGGTGCGAGCCGCAACCCGTGCCACCACTCCTCGTAGGGCACGATAGGGACTGGGTGTCACTTTCGCCGTACGCGCTACGGCATTGGGACCGTCTATCCCTAGAACCGTACTCCTATGGCCGTGACGTCGCCTATGTCGTGTTGGCGGCAGACGGTGACGCACTATCCGAACCAGTGCGGACGTTCTTCAAGGAGCTGTCTGCAGCGTACGAGGCGGCCAGGCTCGGAAGACATCAACCGATATCGAGGATAGCGAGAGATGGTATCGTGAGGACGGCGCCGGCGGATATCGATAGGTACCGTTTCTGGGATAAGGAATAATTAAACTCTGTCGTAGTTTTTTTATGTCTTTTTATGTTTTACAATAAGTAATACGTAAAATTATTTATATTTTAGGTCTGTCACTTCCTGCACAATCCCTTAATTTAATATGTTTTACTTTTTTATTTTATATATTAGGTTGTCTAATTGTATAACGAATAAAATATATTATTAATAAAATTATTACTAGAAGCAAAACTTTCACAGCATGTCTTTGGTCGTTTGACTTCCTAAAATTGTACGTGTCGCTTTTTTTTGCAGGGATACGAGCTGCGAAGAATGGACGGGCGAGTTACCACCGGGGCGGTTAGGCGAGTATGTGCGGGCGTACGCTGAAACGATGCGTGCAAACCTCGTGCCACAACTGGCTGCTCTCAACGTTGATAAGACTTTATTTGAATGTGAGATAATCTTTATACTAAATCCATATTAACTTGTAGCTTAAAGAGTGGACGTAAATTAAGAATATAAATTAGAAATGACGTGATTCTTAAAACTTACAGCTAGCAACACTACAAGTGCAATGCGACCACCTGCAGCTCCCGATCGACCAGATACGCCTAGCGGGACTAGTGGAAGCGCAGGTGCCAATATAAGTTCGGAACAGGAAGCGGACTCGGGTACGACCGGCGGTGCCAGTGGACTTAGCTCATCTGCGAACGCGTGGGAGGAAGACGAAGGGGGTCCACCCGCGCTCGTTGTGTACGTGGTCGAGCCGCCTGCAGCGCATGCGCACAGGCCCCGCGCGTTACACGCACTCTTAAGGCTGGTTGCGCAGGCGTATCACCATTTGCATCATCACAATCCGCTTATCAAGGTTTGTTGCTGTATAAATATTGTGGGATCAATGAAGTGTTTAGCAAAAGAGATCTTAAACTACGAAGCGCTTTTGTTGTATTCACTTGTATATTATCTTAAGTAAAATTATATTGATTCAAAAAGGCCGTTTTCGAAAGAAAAGAAAAATATATCATTAATACAATTCATGTAAAACAATCCTGTGGTGTTTATAATTAATAAAGTTACATAAATAAATATAATTATTAATCACTAATGTATGTAACTATATAGTTGGATTACCTCATAAATAACCTTAAAAGAAGTAGCACTAAACAGCCAAAAACACCATTAATATAAACTAGGTAATAAATATATGGTTTCATTGAAATATTGTTATTTTTAGATAATATCCTTGGAAGGCGTATGCGAGACGTGGTGCGGTGCTGCCAGCGGACCCGGCCTCGGGTCTGAACTGCGCGCACTCGCGTTTAGCGTATTCGCCAGCGCCCGTCGGAACCTCTCACATTCTCCAAACGGCAAATCACTCACCGGCTTCGGCACTGCTGCCGATGCTAACCTTTTCCTATCAAATAAAGACGTGAGTATTCACACTGTACTTTTTTTATGATAGAGGAGGCCAGTCAAGCATCGGCTCCACTTGGTAGGATGTGAAATACCACAGCCATATAACGTCTAAACAAGAAGCGCTGTCGACCCATTTTTGGCTTTTGTTATTCGGAAATCCACAGACTAAAACCGAAACGTGATTAACTTCATGGCTTTTTCATATGTGGACGGTGGTTCGTGACCCGAACGAAATTTCGATATTCCTACCACCCATTTAATATTTTCATTTTCAGATGAAGGCCAATATTATTTAGGAAATGTATAAATTGATTAGAAAAATGTTGTACCCGATGGGAATAGACCCTACGACCCGTTGATTGTTAGTATATTGTTTCCATTAGACCAACGAGCCCATCGTACCCATAAATATCTTTCTATCTTTAATATGTTTCTCTTTTTATCTTAAGAATTTGAAAAAGTGTTATAAAAATAAAGATGATACCATATAACCGCAGGAAAAAAATCGGGCACCATACCGTCTCTTCTCGCCGGCTTGGGTGTTGGCCCCTCCGCGTGCTTTGAAGGAGGTGGCGGAGACCTGGGGTCAGGCGGGTGGCGAGCACGGTGCGGTGTTGTACGTCGCATATTGTCTCTCACATGACCAGAGGTGGCTGCTTGCTGCTGCTACTGATTCTCGAGGAGAACTGTTAGATACCACCGCTATCAACATATACGTTCCTGCCAGGTAAATACATGAATTGAAAATAAATAATTTAAAAAAAAGATGTCTGTAATTTACACGAGAAGTACACATTTGCGGTTTAAAACGCAAAATATATTAGAATTAATATTAGTATTATTTGCAGCGTGACCATGGCTGCTATAGAGCTTTCGGAACGTCTGGCTGTAATTAAAATATGTCTCAATGGTTAAAGTAATATATTTCGTGTTTTAAACCGTTAAGTCTATTTAGTTATAAGTTATTTTATAGTAGAAAAACACTTAAGTACACTTTATTTGCAATAATAATAAAAAGTATGCGCGTAAGTAACATGTATCAATAGGTTAAAAAAAAATCGATGGTGACGTGTAGGACTCGATAGCTCAGTAATTGGTTAGAGCAACAGCACGGAACACTGTAGATGCCAGTTTAAGTCCTGCACGATCCGAAACCTGTCTCAATTTATTATTGATTTTTTAAATTTTAAAATAATGCAATTTAGATCGCGACGGAAACGTGGTGGTCCTGCGAGGCGGCTCGGTCTCACGAAGCTCATGGACTTTACTTTGGGTGTCATGTCTCAAGCTGCTCAGCCGTGGCGGCTGGTCGTCGGTCGCGTGGGCCGAATCGGACATGGCGAACTCAAAGGTCAGTCAGCCTTTATATATATGCTCATTTTTGAGCACGGTCAATATTATGTTCTCTCAGGGTTTTTGAATCCAACCATATCTAGTTCCGTTACGAATAACGACGATGAGTATTTCTAGCAACAGTCCCGGGGTACGATGTTTTAATTTAGGTTATTAGTTAGTAGAATTTATTTTGAATATTAAGTTATGTGGTTACGAGTGTTTCATGGCATAAATGAATACATATATGTATAAATGGATAAACAAAAGCTAAATAATAACTACAGGTTGGAGTTGGCTTTTATCCCGACCGAACCTCAGCCGAGCGTCCACCACACTTCGAGAGATGTGCGGCAGTTGTTCCCTGCTGTACCCCAGCGGTGCGCCGTGCATTCTATCGGCCTGTCTTGTCTCCACCGAGCCGGATTCCTGCCTGCGTCTAATGGCCGATAGATTCACACCTGACGAACGGTTCTCCAAAGCCTCGATACAATCTCACCTGCACACGCCCCGTGACGTCACCGCCACGCACATACTCGTCTTCCCCACCTCCGCAACCACACAGGTACGTACATTGTAGAATTAATTATTGAAGTGATAAAAACCTGTAAAGTTCAATTGTGTTTCGGATTCAGTCTGTAGATTTCCAAATATCCAAAGCCAGATATAGACATATGTTATATGGCGAGGATATATCACCTACTATCAAGTGTAAGCCAATGCATTTCTGTCCTCCTTAATCATAAAATCATTAAACTGCATGTTGTTTTAAAATCAATGAAACTATTTTAAGGGTATACTAAAGAATAAAATAAATAAATAGATATTTTATTAATAAAATATATATGTATTAATTGAATAAAATTCATCAATGTGGGTGGTAATGATTCTATTTATACTTACATTATAGTACCAATAATGATATATCATCATTTATTTCAGTCAAATCAAATGCCGTATGAGCAACCAACAGCCAACGGCGAAGAGAGCGACATGCTTCTCATTGGCTTGGAGATGGTGGATGAGGACATCGGCGAAGACCAAATGGCGGATCTCCTCATCACCGACATGTTCCAGTGCTGGCAGGGGGGAAGCCCTCGTGCTTCTCCCCGTCGGGACGACGACAACAATAGCAGGGACGGAAGCCCTCACCACAATCACATGACAGCGGCGACAGGCCACTACCAGAGGGAACACGATCAACAGCCGGTTAGTGGCTTTTTTAGTTACCAAAAAATGTTTTATAAAGATGGTGGTAAAACAATAATTTAATAATTCGATCGGAATTATGTTTTTTTTATTGCTCACCATCAAACAGATCCTTAATATTTTTTTTATTATGAATACTTAAGAAATAATAAATCGAGGTAGCTAGGTGTATGTTCTTTATCCCTCTCTTTAATCAAATATATGAGAGAATACAAGTTTTAGAGAACCAATGTGTGCAATGCATATCGATCCATTTCAGGAACAAGTGGGCACAGTGCTCCAACAGCCCCTCGCTCTCGGATACCTGGTGTCGACGGCGCCTCTCGGTGCGATGCCGAGCTGGTGGTGGGCGGGGTGCGCGCATCTGCGCGACGCGTGCCCCGCCTTCCTCAAGAACGCGCTGCACCTGCAGTGCAGTGTCCCACCTCATGACGACTATGCATTTACGCAGCGCCGTGACCACAACGCGCACCCTCTGGACTCCACCACTACCACCGACGTGCTAAGGTACTTTAAAAAAAATATTTATTGGTCATATAGCGGTACAGGCCCATCGTAAACAAATTACATAAAACACTTTGAACGGTATAGAACGCGAAATGTATTAGCTAACTTGTTTACAATATTTTACTACGGCTCAACTTTTTGATCACTTTGAGATTGGATATGGATGGTGTCACTAATGTCAAAGTCTAGTCTACTACGCTAGCGTCAACTGTTTCATTATTGTAGATTGGAGAAATTAGTTGGGCCCTTACATAACTGACTCACACAAACAATTTACCAAAAACAGCAATGCTTCTATTTAAAAAAGCTTGACTTCATACACGTAAAATATATGACACAAAAGTAAACACTTGTAGTTGTTTTCTACTTTATCAAAACACTTTTTCCTTTTAGATATGTACTAGAAGGCTACAACGCGTTGTCGTGGCTCGCGCTAGACGGTATGACGCACGACCGTATGTCATGCCTCCCTCTGCACGTTCAAGTCCTCATGCAGCTCTACCACACCGCAGCCGCCCTAGGCTGAACCACCTTCAGGATTCATCATTACCAAGAATTAGCTACCTTAAGGATAAATTATTGAGGGCGATCCCTCAGTCGATAGATGAATTAATGTTCAGAGAATAATTATCAAAATAGCTTATAACACACAACTATCGACATAAGTATTGTCCGTGGTTTACGCGCGAATTAACATTTAAATAAAACACTTTTAACGGTTACAAATTCCTGTTTGACTCGACAGAATTACCGGCATACTATTATAAAATTTTTCTCTAATTAATAAATTCATTTAGGCCATTAAAATGTAGTGTTTTAATACGACATTTTAATGTTTTTTTTAAGTAAATTTACTCACCTGTAATCTGACTGCCAAACATCTAAAAGAGAATTTCAGAATTATGAAAATGAAATAGAAGCCTTATACAATTGGGCGTAGAGATTTAGACACGATATTGCAACAAGCAATGTATTTTATACCATCGTTAATAATCAGCTTTTACTAATACAAATGATCTGAATGCTATATGACGTTTGTGACACACTAAAGTCCAATATTGCAAAGGGAACAAGTTCAATGCTTTAGCGCATGCGCCGTTACCGTCATATTAAACATGTTGGTTTGGGGCGGAAAAGCAAGACGGCTATTTTGATGCGTCTACTATTACGAAAGAAAACTAAGAGTTAAAAAAAATGTTAAGATTTTTAACAGAGCGTTAATTTCAAATTACTTCATCTTAACAAACCGTGTGTAATAGTTACAATGTTAATCATTGGTTAAAGCATTAATACGCGTAATAAAACACCCGTTAATTTTTGGCACCTTTTTACATTTACATGAGCATTATGTGTGTGCAACTTAAAAATAACGGTTTAGACTGCGACTAAGTCCATTATAACTCGGCGGTATTCGTTTTATTTTATGCATCGTGCCAATTTTATAAACAATATTATTGCATTGAAATTTTATTTCTTGTTCAATGTTACGCTTTACAAGAGATTAATATGAACCAAATATCGCGCACAAATTGTGACCGCTATATTCTTACCGCAAATGTGGCGACTATTGCTAAGAGTCATCTTCCGAAGGTCCAATTTGATTTGTCATAGGCGTAATAACTAATTTTCATGGTTAGTGGCGTAAGTGCATTTGATTTTACTCTTCCATTCATGTCTTTCTGTTATACTTCCAGTTGTCCCACGTTTCGATACTTCCATCCATACCCTACCATACTAAAAGGAGATTGTTTGGCGCATTGTGACGGCTAAACGACTCGATTTAATTTGTAATGCATTTTCGTAGATGATATTGATGGATTTAGCTTCTACTAAAATTTTGTAGGACTAAATCCGAAAAATAATATCGCTAGATGGCGCTAATCGTATAAATCCTTCCGCGATCTATAACTCAACGTTATTTTTATATTAAGCCGCAGGCGCATACAAACATCACTATTATCATGAACCGTACCTCATTTTAATGTCGAAATCTACAAGAATATATTCGAATAACGCTAGTTAGTTGTATTAAGCGAAATATGTTTTAGCTACATTACAATAGACATAGTTTCCGTACTATCCATATTTCCTTTCTGTCTTGTCATTAGTTTTAGTCACATGCTCCATAGGACGTCTTGTAATGTAAATGTGTTGTTGTATTGTACTGTATTTATAATGTTTTATTTATCAAACCGGTATAAACTACCAAAGGCATTAGATATTCGACTGTAAGGACTTTATTTTTTTAAAGATTCGCATCACAGGGTTTTTATTTTGAGAATAAAGGTTAAGATCAAAATTGTGTATGTGTTTTGAATATTGTTTTTGTATGTAACTTATTATTTTGTCATCGAACCAATCGCACCGATCGTTGAATTGTAATTTAATCTTAGATAAGCGACGTAGGCCGTAATTGTTATCATAGGGCGAAAGCGTTTCATAATCTGGGAGCAAACGGCAATTTTTCAAGTGTTAAGACGAGGTTTTTACTAGGAAAATTTTTGCTACAATTATATAATATAGCCAACTGCCAAGCGAACTCCTGTGGATAAACCGAAGGACTAAAATTCACCATCACTAACCAGTTATGAATACAGTTGTTACACTACCATGTCCTTACATAGAAGCAGGTTTTGTTGGTGAATTTTTGGTACTCGCCACAGTCAACATATTTCTTATGTACATGTACCTCCTGGGTTTTCGAAGTAATTAGTAACACCAATAGTTAGTTACAATAGATTAAAAAAGTTTTAGGGGTCACATTTGAATTAGCATTTGTATAATATTTAGAAGTCGTTTTATATAAAAATATATTATATGTAATAAGCGATGTGCAAAATGTTGGTTCGTCGAATCTCCGGGCAGTTCGGTAGTTATATGAAATTTTCTATTTTAATATATTTAATGTTAGAGTCAATATCGTAGGGGTGTGCAGTTGTTATACATGTGTAAGTGGAGATGTGAATAGCTTTCGAGAGGACGTTTTAACCACTTATCTTTTATAGAAATGAATTAGTACTAAAGTCGATTTTATTTATCTAAACTAATTTGTCCCGCTTCTGGTACCATGTTTTAGTTAAATCGAACGGAACCGTGTAAACCGTGTATGTGACTTCTGAGAGTTCACGAATAATTTATTGGAGATGCGTCTGCGCATTCGCGACTTAATTGAAATACGCCTAGTTGAATATGTATGAAATGTTTTAAATGTGTTACGGCATTTGAGAATGTTTAATGATGTTGTATATAGTTTATATTTTGTTTTGTAAAAGGACATTGAACTGTAAATAAATAGACGACGTAGCGCTAATTAGTAATTTGCCCTCATTGCCAACTTCGTGGAGCACGTTTATAAAGAAACCACTCGTAATCTTTTGTACAGTTGTTGAGCGAGATTCGTAGTTGAATGAATTATTTTTAAGATTTCGTTTTTGACCCTTTTTTGTTATTGTGAATTGTCAATTTTTTTTAGGGAATTGGGATTTTACTGTAAATAGACCTCACCGTATTAGGGTTAAGTGAAAATCCAATGGTTGATGTGGAAATCAAATTTTCTTAATGGAGCAATCATTAGGATTCGTAAACAAAATGTTAGTATAATACTTGATATTAATATAACTTTATAAATAACTGAAAATAGGTAATAATAATTATGAATAAAATATTACATATTTAAAAGGTCTTTTTGATACTCCTACCCATAACTAAAACAGCACACTGCACCATACACAAATGGAATATTATATAGCTTATTAAAAAATCGTATTCTATTATAGAATATCGATATTATTAATATATCAACAATGTTAAAACATACTAAGATATGCACTCCGTGCTTGGTTGATTCTGATAATTATAGAATTCCCCTTCAATTTTAATTATGGTCGTTAGTCCGATTTAATTCTAAAGTTTATTTTTTCGAATTGAACAAAAGAGGACAACAAATATGGGCAATTTTAAAATCATAGACCGCTAGTGATGAGCTTTTATAGAGTTAAGTACACAACTAATACAGGATAAAGAAATATATCGATTATATATATGTGGACTATATAAAACTTCAAAATTCAGAATGACGTTTATAACGACCTCTATTTAAATTCTTTGTCATAATTCAAAATTTGTAACGTCTTTTAGAGATCGTACGTGAATGGAACTTTTACCTTCTGTTGTTGACTTATATACATATGTAAATATCAAACTAAAGAAGATGTAATGTGCCCATTTAAATAAAATATTTTAACGGTTTAAAACGCGATATATTAGCAGCAGCCTTGGTCACGGGGAGACTGCAAAGCATCCGAAACGTCGGGCCGAAGTTAAAAATCATTTTCAAATAAGTTAAACTAATATATCGCGTTTTAAACCGTTAAAGTGTTTTATTTAAATGTGTACTACTCGCGTAAACTATAGACAGTATGTAATGTAAAACACATGGGACCAAAACTACTCTTAAAAGAAGCGCATATTGCTTCAAGCTACCTTCAGTTTTCTTATTTCCGAAAGCCAATTTCTAAACAAGCTTATGAACAATTTTCAATTTGAAATGCCTGAATTCTTGTCTGACATAATATTATATAATGCTAAAAAATAACGGTGTTAGGAAAATCGGTAACTCTACGCATTACATAGTATCTGTTTGGTATGTCAGTTGCCTTGTCAATTGTCCGAAAATGTCAACCATAAAAAAATCAAAATAAAACGCAAGGGAAGTAATGTTTTCATTATAGTGAGAAAGAATTTGTTTTTAATTAAAATGCATTGGTCGGAATAAAAAATAAGGTATGTTTTCTCAGTATACTTGTTTATGGTCTGAAAATGTATACAATTTATTAAAAAGTTCTTCAAATTCCGTATTTTTAGTAACTCGAAACATTAGTATGAAGATAAACGAGAAAAATTTGTACGCATTTGCGTCCTCTGCTACTCCCGTGGATCGCGAAGGATGGCTCGATTTACGAGGAGAAGTGGGCAAGAGTTACCAGCGAAGGTGGTTCACCCTTAAGGGAAATCTTTTATTCTATTTCGACAAGAAAGGAGACAAAGAACCAGTTGGTGTTATTATTCTAGAAGGATGTACTATTGGTAAGTTGCCACTAACCAGTAGAATTTATCTTTAAGAAAAAATTAGCTTAAAATGATATGAACTTATTAAACTAAGGCTTTAAATAAGTTTATTAATTTTGGTAAAAAGGCAAATAATGCTTAGCAGATAATGTGAACTGATTACCCAGCCTTCTATCTGTAATTCCAATAAAAAAAAATATGAACAGTCTAAAAAAACATGGGCCTTGAAGTCCCTTTCATTTTTCCATGAACTTGCATATAAGGAATGAAATTGTAACCAAAACAAGCACTAGTTTAATATTTTTTACACAGCATTAGTTAGCTTGTGACCTTGTGTTTCCAGAGCTGACAGAAGAAGAGTCATACAGTTTTAAGATAGTGTTTCATTGTGAAGGTGGACGTACATATTTCCTTTGCACAAATTCACAGGCCTCTATGGAGGCATGGATGAAGGCTCTTGCCTGTGCTAGCTACGACTATATGAAACTGATGGTTGCTGAATTACAGAGACAATTAGATGAAGCGCAGGGTGAGCAAAATTTTTTTATGAACTTTATAAATTTTTCTAGTTGGTAAGATTAAGCATTCTGTGAAACAATTATTGTTGTATGAAAACTATCCATTCATAACTATGTTAAACCTTAAGATGATTTCTCAGAGTTTCACCAAAAACATGTCTTAAGTGGGAAATCATATTATGCAGATATGGAAAGTAAATGTATGATATATTATTATGTGTTATGGTCTAATGGTATTTGTAGGTATTAAATTATACTTCTATGTGTTACATTAAGTACATAGTGTAATTATAATTACCTTCGTTTAAAATAATTACTAATTTTGGTTCACCAAAAAACAAATTAACAGCCACTTATGGGCACTTTTAAAGCTTGTGATTCATGCCTTTGTGATCATCTTAAGCGGGTTCTACTGTATTTTATGATAAAACCTAAAATACATCAATAACAATGTTTATGTAACTGGAGTTAATAATTTTTATAACTATATATTTTATTTCATTCTCAATAATGCAATGACCGATTTATTTCAGCTGAAGAAGCTGCAGAAGCTACTGCTTTGGTCACCATTACTCCTCCAGATGAAGAATTAGAGCCTAAAGTGCCCCCTCGTGGCCAAAGACACAACCCCTTCAATAAAATGGGAGATGGGGAAAGTAAAACTGTTCCAGGCAGCAGACATTGTAAGGGCAAATTATTAATATTCTATTTTTAAAACAAGAGTATCTATACATTTGACACTTGCTTCTGTTTAACGATTTATATATTTAAAACAAAATAACTTATTTACTTAACACATTGCGCAAGAGCTGCATGTATGAATGGGTGAAAAAAATTCGACGATGACGTGTAGGTCACGGTAACCAATTGGGTTAGAGCACCGACACGGAACGCTGAGGATGCCGGTTCAAATCCTACCCGTGTCGTAATTTTTTTCAATTTATAATGGATTTTTAATTTACTCTTATTTATGTAAACCCTAAATTGCAGATAAAGAAAGTGTAAAAGCTGAGATTGCCCGAAAGAAAGTTCCATTCCGAGACATACACACTGTGTTCGGACGACGCGTGTTAGCAGATCGTAGCGAGTGGCGCGCGCGCATCCGAAACAAGGATGAGAGTACTCCGCCCCTCATACAACTATAAGCATAGAATTGGACGTTATTGTGTAAAGGTGGTTAGAAGTAACTCGTCAAGGAAACCAGTTCTTACAACTTTGAAACTCATTTAATTTTTTTATATCTTTGCCGCTCAGAAGGTGTGGGATTAATTTATATAATTAATTTTTTTTTATCAAAAATAAAATAATGGTTATCTGTTCAAATTATATTTTGCCATTCTTCATGTTTAAGCTATCATTTACAGTAAAATAGACAATAAAAATGTCATCAGACACTATTCTACCACCTGTAGTATTATAGATATAATCAGTATTTTCGTTAACATATTTTGTTTGGATATTGTTTTGTTTACTTGCCTTAAAGTTAAATATGAAATAAAACAATAATCTTGTATTAAGTAGTTTATTTAAAAATCTTTGTTATATAAACCAACACTTTACAACGTCAACTACAAAGGGGAGATAACATAAATAATTCATTTGTTCCCGTCGCAAATACCGCTCGTGTAAGTTTCATCGAATTTGATACTTCCTAAAGCGATACATGAGCCGTGCACAAATGTAGATTTTGGTTTAACGCTGACGCAACTAGAAACAATTGAGCAATACTCTGATCTCCGTACAACCGTGCGTCTGTCTGTCTGTGTCACTGTACACAACAAAGTGCTGGAAGACCCCATCTGTGGTAACGACCCCACACGGTTTAGTCTTTGGCTGTTATACTCTATTACACTATGGTTCTGTTTATATATTTTTAATTCATAAGCGGTTATAAACAATTTAATCTCGATACAAACTCTATAACAGCCACTAATCTAGTACCTTAACTTTCCGAACGATTATATCTCCCACATCCGATACATAAAATATGTAAATCTATTAATAAATCTACAAAATAATGAACAAGACTAAGCTACGCGCGCGGCGTTCGAGGGTTAATAAATTTTAATACAAATCTGTAGAGTCGAGACGCCGCGCCAACTTAAGTGTCGTAAAACTCATAAATAAGAAAATATTTGGTAACAAACTCCTTAAAGATACAGGACTGTGCACTAAAGGGATAACCGAAGTTAGTATTTACATGAAAGTTTTACAAATCCTCACTAACCGAACTACGACTACATAATGAACACGAATGCACATAACATAGCTATACTTCGTCTCATGTAGGGTGATAAGATTGACACTTAAAATTTAACAAATACTGGAAATAAATTCATGTTTTTTGAATATTATTTAACTGTTGATTTTAATTTGATGTGATTTGTCTTCGCCGGAACTTTACTAAGCATTACCGGTCAATATACCTTACATATTTCAGAATTGTCAAATTTATCATCCTCCAATAGACGAAAGTACAACAATCTAAATAATAAAAACAATCAAATATACAATGGTGGGTGGGAGGTATCTGGCCACTCGAGGAAAGACATTTTTGGTCTCAGTCCATACTTAAGCTAGTATTGTCAAAACAGGATATATTGATTGTGAAATATCACACCTAAATCTATGGTGCTATGGTCGAAAATTGAAGCTGTGGCCAGGTGATAGCGTGGTGGGAGACGTACGAATTAAATATTACAGTGAGTACTATAGCTCGAAACGTTTCTTGCGTTCGGCGACCATGCCAAGGAGGGAGAGGCTTACACGCCCGCTGTCTTGACTTCGCTGCTTCGATTTCAATTCTGAAACAAATTCATGATATGAATTAGAGCATGCAAAAGTTATTTTAGTAGTGGTTTTTGTCCACATTAGACATTGGATAAGGTCACAGTTAACTTATTAAGTACTAGATGCACCTTGCGGTGTTACAACTTCATCAAATATTAAATGCTAAGTCAATCGTATTTAATATCTGATTAAACAAGTAACATGCGCGTGAGCATATAGCACCTTGTAGCATGCTTACCGCGTTTGTATACTTTATTTAAGGCTTATAGGTAGAAGAAATACATAGATCTCTTCCACCACACGTGTCATTTTTTGAAGACTTTTTTGTAGACTTTATAAGTAAAAAGTTTTTAAATTCAAAAATAAAATAAATAGAATTTGAAATTAAAATCAAGAATATACTAGTGTCGCAGAAGTTTGCAAGAGGTGTTCATTTGTGTGTGACAGCCATTTTACCAAAACATATCGCTAACCAATCAGCGCCCGCGCAGCTACTTTTGTACCACCCTATTACTACAATTACTACACAAAATTTTGCTCTTTTTTTCATATCCTCCCGGTTTTCCGGGGAAAAAAAATTTTTATTTATTTTTTTTTTTTTTCCCCTTTTTTTTTTTTTTTTTTTTTTTTTTTTTTCCCCCCCCCTTTTACTTTTTTTTCCCCCCCCCTTAATTTTTTTTTTTTTTTTTCCCCTTTTCCTTCCCCCCCCCCCCCCCCCCCCCCCCCCCCCCCCCCCCCCCCCCCCCCCCCCCGTAATTCTATTATTAAGAGAGAGACAACAAACATATTTATTTAAGTATTCCTTTCGCTACACGAAAAAATGGACATGCCCGTTATCTGCTATATTTGGGTGGGCCTTACCTGAACAGGGGACAGCTGTAGATTTCTGGTGTTCTCTGTCTTGGCGAACTGTATCTTGGCGGGACGGTTCGGCCGAGCCGCCTCCAAGAGCGGGCTTGATCGGGTCGATCTCGTCTATATTTTACATTTATACATGAAATCTTTAGCTAGGAAACCTCAATTTTATTGCCCATAGGACAGACGTGCTAAGTGGCATTAAAATTGAGAAATGGTGAAAAGTGCTTGTGCAGTAATCGTTTTTACTTTTAGGTTGTTTACAATAAGTGTTATTGACATATAGAGGTAGTTGATAATTATAAGGTGACTTCACAAAAACTCACTCACTACAATATGTAAAGCTAAGACTTAAATTGTGATTTTGAAAAGCCAGAATGTTAGTTGATTAGTCGTCTCATGCATTGTTGTTAGGCTTGATGGAATGGTCATGGTTTATAACTTCCTTATGGCTCATCCTTATTTAGTTACGGAAAACTGATTTTACTCCTTTTGTAAAACCCTGAGTTATTTACTTGTTGTGGTTGTGCTGTTTTACATACAAGTTGGAAAAACAATCTGACTCGAATTAGAAGTATACTTTATATTGTGATTGGAAATGGCTATAAGACTTCCCTTTTTATAATATTTTTGTCAGATTATTCTCATTAAAGATCAGACGCACGATACACAAACGAAATGAGAACCGGATTTAGGGGGCAACCGCCCTAGGGCCTCCAAAAATAAGGAGCCCCACAATCACGATTTCACAAACACAAACTTATGCTTTGATATTTTCCCTATTTCAGAAGAAATATTTATAAACTTGACTGACAACCCTTTTTATATCATTTGGTAAATATTTTGGGGCCAGGGGTCTCCAATCCTTTGTTAGCCTGTAGGCTCCATCTAAATCCGGCCCTGTACGAGATAGAGAACAAAATTACCTGTCGCGTTGTTCTGCCAGACCGCCGCGAGATGGCGCAAGTGGTCCCACAGCGGTGCCTCCCGCTCATGCTGTTAGTGCACCCGCCAACCAACGACGATGCAAGACATTATGAGATACTATCTACTACTGTGATCGCATTCATTGAGTTTTTATCCTTATAAACCCGGCACTACGTATGTCCCAACTTGATAAACCCATTTCGATACATTTTCCTTAGCCAAATTAAAATTATATTTATCCCTATATTATTTATAAAATGCAGAAGGCAGCTACATAGATAAGTATATGTACATAACTAAAAGTCAGAAAGCTCAATTTTGCGATCTAATTTATAGTAATGAAAGAGAAGAAGATGCTCTACTTTGATTGGTGCATTATTTTTAAGTCGAAATGAAGAACGAAGTAATGATAGTGAATTAACTATGATATCATGCATGCGTTTTGAAGAGAGCTAGGCTAAGCGTTGAAGGTTGTCGGAAAAGTTTAGAAGACACCTACCGGCGCAGTGTCCTCGATGAGTTGAGACAGCGTGGACGCTTCTGCAGCTTTTAAATCATTTGCTTCCGATATGAGGTGAGCGCGCAGTTGCTTGTTCCTGAAAGCACAATTGACTACGTTAAACTCGGTAATTTATCTTATTTCAAACCACTAATTAACTTTCAGATTTAAGGTTGAAGTTACAGTCCCAGAGTTGCACTATCAATAGGATGAAAGAACTCAACTACCGTAGGACATGGTAGCTCAATTATTGAGAAACCCACGATTTCAAGTCCCGCCAAAAAGCTTGATTACAATAGTAAACATTTTGTAAATTTTTAATTTAACAACTTATTATTTTAAGCTTTAGAAAAACCTGAAGATCACACGTTAGTAAGGCGCAACATCTTTCAAAAATAAAGCTGGTAAAATCTTATGTATTTATTATTTATTTATCGTACCTGGCATCGAGCTGCATTATATGGTTGTGCGCGTGCGCAAGTTGGGCTGTGGCGGTGGCGAGCCTCTCCTCGAGCGCAGCACTTTCGACGCATTTCACCGAATACTTTTCGGAGAGCGAGAGAATCTCGCGTTTTATCTCCTCCATTTCTTGTCTGTAAGAATACACATTATATGTTTAATTTTACGCAACAACACAATCATACATAAAATACTTACTTACCACCATTACAATAATTGTATTTTTACGTTTAAAGTCAAAAATCTACTTGTATCTTTCGCTTCAACATTATAAGAAATGTAAATAAGTTGAATAATTAACGACGGAACAGATCGGCGCTACCGTAACAGTTTTTACTTTGACACTAAAGACACCCTCCATCTTTAGTCTCCCCGTGACCACCAAAAAAGCGTCCAAGTAACATACAAAAATAATTTGTAAAAGTTAATTCGCTTTAACATCCAAAATATGTAACTAAATTAAAGTCTTAAAAATGTTTCAATGTTAAATGAGGACACAAATCAAATTTAGATCTTTAAGAATAAAAGTACTTACTGGTGCCTGGTGCTGATCTGTGACAGGTCCGTGGAACCTCTCGCGAGGAATTCCTGCTTGAATTTGTCGACCTCGCGTCGTACCTCGCTCTCGTGCGCCTTTCGCATCGCGTCTAACGCCGCTAGTGTGGCCCGAGTCTCTTCTGCTAGCGCTTGTTCTTTCTCCAACCTGTAATTGATTATCATTACTATAAATATAGTTTTTAAATTGGCTTTACTTAGATATATAATATAATATTTTTTTTTTTACAAATAATCATTTCACCATCATCATCATCCATCAGACAAGCATGGTGATCACTTGATAATAGGAAAAAACCCCCCCCCCAAGGGTTTTTTTTTTCCAAAAGGCCCCGGGTTTTTTGGTTTTTTTTTTTTGGGAAAGGCCCGGCCACCCCCGGGGGGGACCCCCCCCCGGTCCCCCCCCCTCAGGGGGGGGGAAAAACCCCCGGGGGGTTATTTTTTCCCCCCCCCCCCCCCCAAAAAAAAGGGGCCCCCGGGGAAAAAACCCCCCCCCCCGCGGGGGGTTTTTCCCCCCCCCCCCCCCCCCCCCCCCCCAAAAAAAAAAAAAAAAAAAAAAAAAAATTTTTTTTTTTTAAAAAAAGGGGGGGGGGGGGGGTTTTTCCCCCCCCCCCAAAAAAAATAAGCAGGTGATTAAATAGGCAGTAAGCCAGCCGCAAGTTTTCGTTATTACTGCCCATGTCAAAAGATCGTTACCTAACCAGGAATGAGCCTCACCTTAGTTGTTCCCTCTCTGCGCGATGCTTGTCCTCCATTTCGCGCACAATTCGCCGATGAGAGCTCTCCATTGCCATCAGACCCTTCTCGCAGAGCGCACGCAGTTGTTCGATTTCCTGCTGATAACGCGCCCGAAGTCCGTCGCCGTGGGTGTCCGCTGATACTGCACTCTGACAAATAAAATTTTACTTTTAATCTACACGTATATGATAGTGATTCTAGAAGCGATGGTGCCAGGGGCCGCTGCAACTCAGCATTACTCCATAAGCGTGTTCGAGCTATGCCGTGTTATACTGACTAGTTTTAGGAGACTATCCATGTATATTTAAAATTTTTGTTTAAGTATAGTTATTAAGTTCATATTGCATACAACAAATACATAATATAAACTAAATATTATGTATTTTTGTATGCAACTTTTAAATAAATAATTATTAAATAAATCAAAGTTACCTGATAAGCGGCACGTAGACTCTCAAGCTGCGCTGAGTATTCAGAGTCTAAGGCGGCGAGACGCCTCTGCAACGTTCGTGCACGTTCGCGCAATGTGGCCCGCTCGCGCTCGTGCTGCGTTTGTAGTTGAGCACGGGCACGTCTCGCGGCCGCTAATGCACCTGCCTGCTGCGCTAGCGCACACTCGCCGCGCGCCCTTTCTGCCCCGAGACGCTCAAGTGCCTCCTGCAGTCTCTTGCAATGCTGACACGGCGCCAAAGCCTGCAGTCCCTCCACGCGCTTCCACAGCGCCTCAATTCTTTCCACCACTCCTACCCCCGAGGCACCTGGCTCTCCGGTTGCGAGGGGTCGTCACTCCCCAGTCGCCGTTGCACCTCCGCGACCGCCGTTTCCACTCGTTCGAGGCTCTCGCAGATCTTCATCGAGTCTTCACTGTTGCCTGAACAGTCACTGGAGAAGAGCGCACGGCACTCGTTCGAGAAGCGCTGGAACAGGTAGACGAACTCGGCTTCGGCGGTCGGGTCCGTCTCCAACGAGGACACGGCGTCGTCGGGGCGCGGGGACGCGTCTCTCGGCTCCGAGGCGCGATACGTTCCCTCGACGACGGCGACGCGAGCGTCCACCAGCGCCTTCTGGGCGAGGACGTCGGCCAGCTGCTGCAGGAGCGCGCGGCTGTCGAGTCCCGGAGACCCTTCTTTACGGTCGGCGGTGAGGCATTCTCGGTAGCGGGCTGCGATGTCGCGCACGGCGGCGTCCATTTCACAGCGCAGGTGGTCGTGCGCCGCCTGCCACCACAGCTCTAGGTCGGCTCGGTCCTGCGCGGTCAGCGTGAGTCGCAAGGATCGGGAATCGTCCAGGCGGCGCTCGCACTGCTGCGCAGCCCTGGCGAGGGCCCGCGCCACCTCGGCTTGGACTAGTTCGGCGCCGAGCGTGTCGCGCGCGGAGGCCCACGCTTCTCGTACCCGTGCGGCCTCTGTGTTAGCACGGTGTTGCTCAAAGTCGCTATCGTTAGGAGAGGTAAAAGACAACGTTTCACCCGCAAGCGCCGAGCACAGTTCAATCAACTTATCAGTTTTATATTGCTCTACGGCCTCGGCCACCTCTCGCTGTGATGCCTTCAACGCTTCCAAATCAGCGCCGTGAACTATGAGCTTAGAGCGTCTCGTGTCGTCCTCTACGGTTCCGTTCATGACGTCAATTTTCCGCGAAAGAATCTTCGCGAGATAGTCCAGGGAACTCTTAGTCATGTCGAAATTCTTGCCGCTCTTACCGTTCAGCTTACACTTAAGGTTGTCGATTAATTGACTAGTTTCAGTTATTTCAGACTTGATCAACCTCGCGAAGAATCTGCTGCCGTTTGAGGACTCTAGGGCTTCTTGAATTCTACCAACGAGCACCGCTTCGTACGCGAGCTTTTCAGCTAGAAGCTCTAAGCTCTTCCTTTGCGATAATTCGCCAGCCTCGTAGAGTGCCGCTTTTCGTTTCGAGATGTCTAATAATTTCATTCTGAGCTGTTCTTCTAGCTGAATGACCACTTGCGCGATGCTATCGTGTACCTCTTCGGTCTGATGTTCCTCGCCGGAGTCGATCACGCATTTATCAAAACACTCTTGTAGCCTCTTACTGACGTCAGATAGACATTTTTCCATCGATTTAAGACTGTACTTCTTTTCTAAGCTGGGCGAAGGAGATCTTCTCGACTTAGCGGCTCGCATCGCACTCATTTGGCACAGACAGTCGTTCACCTTATTTCTAGAGTGTATCACAGCGCTTTCGAGGGTTTGAAGCCTGTCTAATAGATGCCTCTGGGATTGAGTGCCCATAGAGTTCTCTTGGCTTTCACTCAAGATGGATCTCTCCGCTTGACTTAGAGATTCACAGGAGTTTGCCAAGTCTCGACGATTTTCAAGCACAGACGCGACCTTTGTTTCTAATGAACTCAATCTGACCAACATTTTCATGGGCTCAGAGCTCGTCGCACTATCCAGAGATTTTCGTCGAAGGCGCGCTGCTAACCTTTTCATTCTCTTTTCATCTGTTACTCCGTCAGATTTTGGGACCTTCTCTTTAACTGGCGAACCGCTCTTCGAAGGCGAATTTATCGTAGGAACTGGTTCTCCAGTTTCTAGAAGAGTAATTTTATTCTCGAGTTCTGTTAATTTCTCTTCGACTTCCTTGCCCAGAGTGAAAGATTCACGACCCTTAAGAGACAAGCTTCGTCGTTTCTCCCTCGATTCTGTCTTCTGAATTTTATGTTTCAGCGTACGAACTTGTTTATCGGACGCGGTCAATTTCTGCGTTAAATCCAGAATGCGCGCTGCCATCAGATCAATTTCTGATTTACTGCATTGTTCTCTAAGTTTCATTTCGTTTATTAATTTCATATTCGTTATCTCTAGTTCATCGTACATGTTGTGTGACTCTCGAAGCTCCCTCTTCATACTTTTTATTTCTTGTATGGCCCTTAAGAACCTACCCCTTAACTCTACATATTCTTCGATCAGTCTATTCTTCTCTAAAGACTCGAGATTTAAATTTTCGTCGATGTTGCTCAATTCGTGAAGAGAACCGACACTTTTCCTCTTTTCCTTAGTCGGTGATTCGGCGATGACTTTATTTTCTAATTCTCTGATTCTGGCGTATAAGCGGTCGTTTTCTTTTACGCTTCTTAGCAATTTATCATTAAGCTCGCTCAACTCCTTCTGGAGCTGTTTCACGGTGTCTTGAGCGGCGCTTAGTTGTTTGGTTAATAGTTCGCAATGTTCAGTCGACTCTTTCAAGACGTTTTGAGTTTCCGTCAACTTTGTTTCCCACATATTTTTATCCTGACTGTAAAGTTGTTTTATGGCGTCTAAATTTTCGGCCTCTTTTGTTCTAAGAGATAATTCTTCCTCTTTCTTTTGTAACGCTATAACTAACTCTTCCATCTTCTTCTCTCTTAACGCAGACTCAGATTTTAGCTTCCTAAGACGCGCTAACTCAGATTCTGCTGTGTTGACATTATTGAGCGCTAATTTTAGCTGTTTCCGTAAATCTTCAATCTCGATAGATTGCTTATCGATTGTCGAAATGTAGCTACGTTTCCTGGGTTCATTTGGTTTTTCGTTTTCTTCGATGATGTTGTCTGTCGGGCGTTCATTTTCTTTTGATGCGTCGATTTCATCCCTATCGCATTTAATATCAACTTTAACTGAAGCAGGATGACAGCCTCTTGCGCGAACCTTATCTTTTACTTTAGATATCGGCGTTCGGTTGGGAACAGGCGAAGTAGGTGGTTGAGACGCTGGCGGTGCTACATCTCCCCAGTCTGCACTGTCTCTGCGCCCACCCTCAGACGCGGTTCTATATTCTTCATCTGAGGAGAATGGTGCTGATTTCATGGTATTTGGTGTAACGGGTGTGACGGGGGAAGTAGAAGCCTCTGATGTTTGATCCACAGAATCCTCCCGCAGAATGAGCGAGAGAGGGCCAGAGTCTGGTAGACCAGCTGTTCTCCTTATCGCCGAGACCCAGTTCGACCTGATCCCTGCTGTTACGGCCGAGAGCACTATGTGTTTACCGTCCCACGTCTGAAAAAGAAACATTAAATAATGACATACTGTTTTTTTTTGACCTCCAAAAATATAATCTTTAGACACATCTACAAAAAAAATTGTGTTCTAATAAAATGAAACATTTACCTCTGTCTCAAAAGCATAGCCATTGGTGGATGCTGAGGTGGGTAGTTCGACAACACGCGCCACTCCACTCAGGTCAATGACACCGTCCATTAGGCCTCGATGTTCTGCGTGAGGATCTCTGAAGTAGAGCAGTGCTGCTCCTCGTAACACGAACCAGTGTCGAGACCAGCCAGATGGGCCACGGCGCTGCAACCAACCAGCTCTTGCATGTAAGAGTCGTTCTGCCGGTAGTTCAACGCGCACCCCTTCAGCGCTCTCAGCGGCCTCTGCTGCATCGGTAGGCTCGCTGCCTTCGCTTGCCGAGCTGGTTAAATTTTCTTCCGCTGGTACTCCGCCATCAGGTGATCCTCGGGCCTGAAAATAATTAACATTGATTGAAATTATTTTAAAATTCACACAACGAAGCAGATTATGATAGAGACTGTAAAATGTGTAGTATAAAAAACGGCAAGTGAAAAATATCAAACCATAATACGAGTGAAGAAGAATGCAAAAAAAAAACATAATTTAAACATAAGTTATTTTTAATAATATCTAGCTGATAAATACAAAACTGTTGTTCTTAAACAGCGCCATCCAGTACTTAGTAATATACTTATATTCTAAAACGAAATTGTCTAAATGACAAAAGGTCATTACCGGTAGTCTATCAGGCGCTGGTAAGCGAGTGGGTCTTTCAAGAGTTGGGGGCAAAGCACGACGGGATCTGGGCCTCGTCAATGAAGCAGCTATGTCTCGCAGCTGCTCGTCGTATTGCTGGTGTTGCTGTTGCAGGAGAGGCGACCGCACCACATTGGCTTAAAAAAATAAGTATAATAGTTAGGACAGTAATTTTAAAGGGTTAAAAGTATTCATTACGTATAAATATAAGTTATAGTTTGACGAAGGTTATGTGTCATTAACACTACAAATTGAACACTTAAAAAAAAATTAAAAAAGTATTTAAAAGCTGGCTTACATAAATAGATACAGTGAGTAGTGATTACAGACACAATAGTTAATATATAAATAAGACAAAATTTTATTCTTATCTCTTTCTGTCACTTAATCTTTTGACCAATAATTTCGCAATTGCTGTCACATCTTCGGTAGTATAGTGGTCAGGATCCCCGCCTGTCACGCGGGAGACCGGGGTTCGATTCCCCGCCGGAGAGAATACTTTTTTTTAAATATTTCTAAAGAGATGTATTAATTGAAATACTACTACTTTTTTTATTATAATATTGTTTATACTTTATCATGCTTTTTTACAACAATATAATCTTTAATTTATTAATAATATATAACAGATAAACACTGTGAAGCCCTAATTCTGCAATATTAAAATAAAATTAAATAAATATAAACCGCCAACCACACACATACAGTGGCGCCATTTATAATACAATTTTGTAGAGGGGGGGGTTACTTGACTTAGTATATAGCATACGAAACGGCTCAAGTACTTAACGAAATAATTTAACTAATATATAAACAAATAATAAAGTTACTCCTTCTAAACGAAAAAAATAAAAAAGAATTCTCTCCGGCGGGGAATCGAACCCCGGTCTCCCGCGTGACAGGCGGGGATACTGACCACTATACTACCGAAGACTTGACAACATTTGCGAAATTAGCCTAGTAATAAAATGCTTAGTAAATTCTACCATCGTCGTTGGAAGCTGCAGAGACTGGTTCAGGCCAAGTGTCTCTACGTCGTGAACGCGCTTTTTCTTCACCGTTAATCTTGTCCCTTGTTGGTGGAGAAGCTGATGATACTGGCTGGTCCGTATACACTGAAATTAAAAAAAATGTAACTTGCTAAATTGTTTTCTGTAGAGTAGTACACAAATATATAAAACACTTTAACGGTTTAAAACGCAAAATATATGAGTTAAACTTGTTTACATTTTTTTCTGCTGCATAATATTTGCTGCGACATATTTCTCATTTTAAACCGTAAGTTAAATACGCTATTAGATTAAAAAGCGAAAAAAATATTTGTTTTGGATAATGTAAATACACACAAAGCTATAATAGATCGACAGCACGTCTTGCTTAGATATTTTATGGCTGGCGTATTTCATCTACCATCAAGCGAACCTCATGTCCTGTCCTCCTTTATTATAATAAATATAAATACTAAACAACGATAATTTGGCTATTAAGTATATTTCATTCAAAAACATTAGGAGACAATTGACTGCCAAACTTATAAATACCATAAAACGAACAATTCATTTTAAAATATCTCTTCGTCAATTTCAATTCCATTTACCCCTACAATAAACAAAGATAACGACAACCTGAAAGGTTAATAACGAAACAATTTCCATAATTGTGATTACCATACTAATAGCGGTGATACTTTGAAAACTGAATTGCATATAATAAAATTTTATTCATCATAATTTGCCTGCACCAAAATAGTTGGATAAACAGACGAGATCGCGATCTTCAAGTGCGGACTGCAATTTGTTATTTTTCAATATCCACAACTTCTCGACTATATAATTCACTGTAATAAATCGTCATGATGCCTCAAGCTTAATTTTATCTCGCGACTGGCTGCTGCACGCGGTGTTTCTCGTGAGTACGGATACACTATGCTCGATTACTAAGTAGCAATTTAAAAACCGCTCTTAAAAAAATAATTTTACCCTATAGAGCGAGACAAATTAATTTTGATTCGATTAAGTATTTAAAAAAATATTTGCCATAACATTAGTGAATCTGAAATGAAATGAAGTTATCGAAATATTTATGCCATATGTAGTGTAAGTGGTATCTACTATCTTTTTCACAGTATGACTAATACATGATGTTCAAACAAACAAACTTCTTAGCCCTACAATATTCGCACAGGCTAGGGAGCTGTTGACAATGCTGCCAGTAGGAGTGATTACTGACGTAGCATGGCAACACTGACGCCGATTCCAACGAGGGGATCGCGTGCCAAGGTCGACAATAAAACCACGACGGGATGCGCCCTTTACACGGTAATTTATTGTTAAGACCGTGTGCACATTGGCGGTAGGCAAAAGGAAGATAAAGGCATAATAAAGCGAACTGCCATCCGACTCGAAGGACCAATGTTTAAATTTTTTGCATGTACTTTTTTTTAATATTCCATGTTCTAGCTTGTGCTTAACAACTCACAGAGAAGTCTGCATCTATATTTCGATAACAGACGAACGATGTAAGTTATTAATAGTATTTTCAGCTAATACTTAACGTGTGTACAATCCTTAAACTTAGGCTATCGTAATCGATCAATAGATTGATCGAATTATAATATTGAACTTATGCGATTCATTTTGCCCTTAGTAAGGTTAACTTACTAACTAACTGAGCAAGAGATACCCAAGATACAAGTTCATATGAAATGGTTTCATACTTGATTTTTATTTCTTTGTATATTCAAATCTTATCATAATGAAGAATGAATTTCATCCAAGTTATAAATTACTACATAAACAGTCAGTAAACTGCAAAAACATATCAAATAGTTAATTGTGAGGAATTTTTAAATATAAAACACAACGAATAATCACAATGAATATTCCCCAAATATTCGTATCTTCGACTCGAACGAATCTTTGAAAAACAAACACGTGTACTTTGATTTCGCGACCATCAAAGCTATCAATGCAAATGTCATCTAAGCGATAAAGCGTGAATTCAAACCGGTTAAATATTTGCGTTAAAAACGTGTATTTTTCTTAATATTCAAATTGTGCCAAATCTTAATTTGAGACACGTTCGCAATATAACGGATTTTCACCATCCGCGACATAGACCAAGACCGACTTGTCCCCATTCCTGAATTAAATTTCAGGTCAAATTAATAGACTATGCGTGACGTCATCGCGAGATGCAACCTTTAGGACACCTATCATGGGTGCAGTGCATAAATCATAATTAAAGAAGCGTTAAAACTCATAGAGTGGAGATGAGATGCAATTTCGCGTACTATTTTATATATGGAGTATTCATTGCCTTTAGTGTAGGTAAGGCCCATTGCAGGCGACGCAAGTATATTAAACTTAAAAATTCCAATTTCAGTTTACATAACCTTTATTAAATTTGCAAAAGACTAGGAAGGTAAATTTGTAAAAGACTAGAAAGGTAAATTTGTAAAAGACTAGAAAGGTAAAATTGTAAAAGACTAGAAGTAGCTTTATTGGTTAGACCAACAGAACGGAAAGTGGATATCGGTTCAAGCCCTGCCCGAGTCGTAAATTTAACAAAAACATATATAGTGCCATCATGTGAAAAATATTAAAGTTTTCAAAGGGGATTTTACACCAAAAATTTTTAACTGTGCTAGTATTGTGCATATTTAGATGTTTTATAAATACATTTAACAGTGCAAAAAAATATTATATTAATATGTATTTAACAAGATACAGTATTTTTTTCTCCCCCTACTTTTTTTCTCCCAGCAATTTCATTACTTTCGTATTTTGTCATAGTGTCAAATAATAATGGTAAAATATTTACAAATAAAAGTAAAATTTATTTAATCTTTCATTTCATTTCAAATGATTCCTCAGGAATTTAGACACGCGACATGAAGAGTTATACTAGAAAAAGGATGTAAAAGGTATCCCTGTTAATAGGTCCATGTAGGAGTGTCATGCGCGTCACTCAACGAGGATTTATGGCGAAAAAAATGAACAGCTAATAAATACGAATGGATGATGGTGTAAATCATCGACACCCAGTGGTTCTCGGTTAAATATCACGATGTAAATGAAATCTTATGCAGCTACTTCTCGATGTTCTTCGACTAAGTCTTCGATCGACATCTAATAATCTATTCGTGATGACGAAACGTCCAGAATATGAGACAGATTTCGATTTCTGCTTCATTGTACAATTAATTATGAATTATAATTATATTAATTATTATAATTCTATGTTTCTTCGGTATATGAACCAAACAATGCGATTTTCTTGATTTCATATAATCTATGCTAATTGGTATTTAAAATGTGAGTAGAGATTTGTTTTTCAAGTTAAAAAGGGCATCATACCATTATAGGGATCCAGTCGAGTGTGAATGATACTGAGATGATAAGAATTCACATACACAGGTTGTCATATAACACTTGCGCATCTTAATACACGTATATACGACCCGAGAGCATAAAGACATTGACCCCAAGTTAGTCACTCTAAGTTCGGAATCTTTTAATGAACGGAAACCCCTCACTTTTTGCAACATAATTCACCAGCGTCACGATTCCCGTAACTCATTACTTATTTGTGTTTAAAAGCTTGAATGGGCGTTTCGAAAGTTTTAGGAAAGCGCATTTGAGTTTCAAAATGTGTTTCATAGTTTAGAAGGTTATCGCGACCAAGTAAATGAAAAAAAACCTTTTTTATTTATACCGCTGTTAAGCAGGAAAAATACTTTCCGCCTGACCACTATTAACTATTTCAATATTCATAAATTATTTAATAAGAAATCTTAAAGGCATTTGATTCTAAAAAGATAAAAATTATAAAAACTAAACACCAAACTTTGAAAACCATAATCTAATAACCACACCACAATTCTTTCAATTGGCGGGAGAAATATCCGAGAGTATAATAAATATTACGAATTTCTTGATCGGTTGTCCTAAATTCAATCACATTAAATGTCGAAGGTCTGATTGCAAAAACCATTCGCATCATTTAACATGGTGAATAAGTTTTGCCATGGGCCATATTTATGCGCAAACGTCTTAATCAATGTTGTAATGGAGGAGAAAGAATCACATTGAAGAAGATTTTAAAAATGCCAAACCGATTATAGAATATTATGTTTAAATTGTTTACCAAAAAATCTAGTAAAAGAAAGATGATTTCCTTACATTTCACAGATACAAAATAACACTAAATATTTAAATAAAACTAAAGTTTAACTAATATATCGCGTTTTAAACCGTTAAAGTGTTACAAATGTGTACTACTGCAACTATAGACTGGATTTAACACTTCTTATGGATAAATACAATAAATCCTTGATGCATGTCTGTTTTTGATACTGTGATAGTATGTACAATATATTATACAAAACACAACAACGTGCTACTCCTCTAGCTTTCCTATCGTGAATACTATTACACTTTTCTAACACTGTAGAGTTTTTATAATTTTGCTATCTATTAAAATTACAGTATTCAATGTTGGAGTAAGTATATCAAGTTTAAATGAGTTTTCTCTTACAAGTAACACATTAAAGGCACTTTATAAGCGGCGCAAAGTAATTCTCGCGATAAAACAAAAACGGCAAGATCATACCGTCGATCTGTCACAACCGTCACGCACCGTCGCACGCGCATAGCTTAAGAGATTTTTTTAAATTATAAAATTAAGTAATGCTTTCAAGAATTATAGGACAGCGTTTGTCCTTTACATATACCATTTCACCAACCTGTAGTCACCTTTTACAAAAACAAATAATACGAATATAATATAGGATTTTTTTCAATAGAAACATGTTTAGTAGGGAAAATTCAAATATCGTCTCAAAATTTAAGAAGATATATAATTACGTTTTATTAAATATTATATTATGTTTGATGAATTGTTGTTATTTAAAAATAAATATGTCCTGAAATTTGAGGGCGTAGACTATTTTAATCAAACGATATAAAAATTAAAAGACGTATTCCTTTGTAAATTCGATTGGCAAAAGTTGCGATTATGAGATGCCACATGTGCTTATTAAGAGACACACATTTTTCGGCCATCCTTCAGCATATCATTGTTTTTCGGGCTGTTAGGCATAAGCGAGAAGAAG